AAAGAAAGAAAGAAAGAAAGAAAGAAAGAAAGAAAGAAAGAAAGAAAGAAAGAAAGAAAGAAAGAAAGAAAGAAAGAAAGAAAGAAAGGAGGGGATTCCAGTCATTTTTACTAACCGGGTACCAACGACGAAGACGGAGTAGATTCAGCCTGGGCTGACCAGCGACTGCAGCCAGCTAAGGTGTGCCCGCGGGCAGAATTTGAGTCACTTGTTTGTGCATACCGAGCATAGTTCTGGCTTAAAATTTTTATTTAGTTCCTTTGGACTGGCTGAAGGAGACAGATCTAAGAGAGATCAAATGGAGCCAAAATGTTCCTTAGGGCCCATGAGCCTATGACTCACAACCTCCATTAAAAGGCCTTGTTTATCCTTGTCTAATACTGGGGACTGCAGCAAAAGGATTGTCCCAAGTTCAAGGCCAACCTGAGCTAGAGCGCGTGAGTTCCTGGCCAGACAGGACTACATAGCAAGATCACACCTCAAAAGACAAAACAAAAATAAAAGCGGGGTGTGTGGGGGTGGGGGGGTGTGGGGGTGGGGGGGGACTCTTCTTGAACCTTCGTGTTTTGTTTTGTTTTTTTTTTATAAAAGGGGCAGAGGACATGGCTTGTGCTCGGAAGAATGTAAATTTGTGCACACAGCGTGTGTACGGTATCAGGCCTGTGTGTCAGGTGATAGAGCAAAGGTTCCAAGCTACTGAGCTGCAGGAACAGCCCCAGAGCCCGGCGTTTCCTGCTTCCCCCGGCCAGCACCCTCCGTCTATGGCAGCAGCGCTGACTCACGCAGTGTCTGGCTCCTTCCCCCATAGACAGGGCTGACTCAGTCTCATCCAGGCTCTGTTTCCAAGTTGTCCCGCTGGACACCTGCCTCCCTCACTCTCTGGCTGGTTTTCGCCTGTGCCAAGGTTTCTGGGAAGAATAGGAAGTTGGAGACGGTGGAAAATGTTTGGCAGATGTCCTGAGTCCAGAGCCAGGGCACCTAATCCCTGCCTAAGGGGATAGAGGACTCAAAACTATGCCACTACCCTGCACTAAGGGGCAAAATAAGTGGGCAATGTTAAGGACACACACACTCCCCCACACACACACACATACACATATGCACACACACAAACACACACATCTAAACACACACACATACACAACCTTATCTACTGACTACCCTACTTAAAATCACCCGTAAGAAATAGTATGTATCTAGAAGTTGAGTACGCATCAGCTACTGATAAAAACCAATGCTGAAAGATGTCAGTGTATCTAACAAGCCCCTACAGACAGTGCTGAGCGGTCCCGGAATCACAGGCTGCCAGATACTGAGATTTAAGACTGGGTCCTCCAAAGCTCTTCACCCAACTGCTTCGCCGGGGCTCTTGCCTGCACAACCCCTGTGAGGGGCGGGAGGAGGCAGGTGAGAGGATGGAGCGCAGGAAGGCCAGCCATTCCCGGCCAGTCTGTGAACGTTCTTTGTTTTTAAGTGAAACAGTCAAACTCTATCATTCTGAGGCATGGAAAAACCGCACTGCATGCTTCCCAGGAAGACAGATCTGGTTCTTTGTCATCACGGGTTAAATTTCTCAAATTAAAAATAAAAAGCTTTCTATTTCTACTTATACTAAAAATTGAACTCAAAATAAGTCAATGGTGCCGCAGAGTCGCTGAAGTGTGGGCCGTCCGTTATTTATCAGAGGGACTGCCAGGGAGGCTCATTTTTGCCTGTTGACTCTGAACTCACTCGTTCTGGAAAATTCTAGTCATTCCGATCACCTGCCCTGGAAAATGTCACTCACTCCAAACCAAGTGCATAATCCAGGATCTT